TACCGTAATGAAAAGTGGTGATTTTTTAATGTTTATACGAAATTATTTATACTGAGAAAAATATCAGTATCCTGAGATAACAAATACAAGTAAATCTTCTCGAAAGTTAGCATCCATATTTTTAAACGTGTTAAAACGCAAACCCTTAAATATATCGACTTAAAAACAAAGTGAGTTTTTGAAATCTTTTAACACTTGTAGCTTGACCCTGCGTTGATCGATATTGACGAAATTTTCAGCATGCATATAAGTGACTGAAATCTATAAAACGCACCTTCCAAATTTTCGTTAGAAGCTTGGAAAAATTTTAAAAACTAGAGCTTTTATTTTTTGTTCTCATTCCGAATAATAACAAAATTTAAAAACGGTAAGTTATATATTGTACAGTACATTAGTCCTTCTGACATCAAAAAAACATTCAAATCAATTTAGTTCAATTTTAAAAAATGTATACTATGTTTTAAAAGGTGGCCACATATATGTCCCATAGGTACAGTAGCCACTGTATCTAATATATGAAACAATTTTCAGGATGTACAACATTATCATCGATTTTATTACAATTGGAAGTCTTTATTATTATTGTTTTATACTACTGTTCCATATATCGGTGTTTCTAACTAATTTAACCCTCTATGGGTTGAATTTTTTTCTTAAGTATAAAAAAATGTATGCAACGGAAAATCTATTATTATAAACCTATTTATGCTAATTAAACCTATTTATCTATATTATGCATTTTATATGAACTACTATTAAAAACTTCAAATCCTAAATTCACATTTGTATCCATTATCAAAAGGGCTTGAATTAGTGTAGTCATTTCGATTCAACAATTTTAATGATGGTTGCATCAACCACAATAAATTTTCTGTAAAATCAGCAATTTTAGACAATACATATTGCACTTGGCGAAAATCAATTTAATCTCGTACGTACGTTTTCCAATCGCTCCTTTCGGAGCATTTATTCAGGCGTAACAGGAAAATGTTGATACGTAAAGTATCAATGCAGTGGATTATTTCAGTACACCTACATACATAGATATGTAAAACGCTCGATGTACGATTTTTCCTACCGAAAAGACAACTTTTGATACATTTTTATTGCGACGTGTTTTCCAAGCTTTATTCGAACAGTTTATTTTCATTTATTTTTAGCCTGCCTTAAAACTCGTGAAACATCTCAAAGTATCTGACGATGTAACATTGGTTCCCATGAAAACGAGACGTTAATAACAGGAACGGTCTTCCTGAAAAAAATTCTATTTAATAAGAGAAGTAAAAAGCTCTCTAACCTCTTTAAAGTCCGGTAAATTCTTCTATTTCTTCCGCTGCGTCTCAAAGCGCGGAAAATGTAAGGGAACTTTTTACGGAGTAGGTTACAAAAACTTTATATCGTAAAGCAACTATCCTTCTTCCACTTCGACTGACAATTAATTTTTCCAGAGAAAACAGATTGAATGTGTTGTATCGTGGGAATATTCTTTTAAATTCACCATCACCATTATTTTAAGAAAAATGGATCATTGTACAATATTATTTTTCCACACAATCTTGACAATTTTGATAATTCTTTTTATCTGCTGAATTTGATACGTTCAGTGTGACCTATTTAAATCGATCCAGTCAAATATCTTTGAAATCATTGATGATACTAGAAAATGTTTCAAAGGGAATTTAAAAGGTTTTAAGGAGCACATAATCTGATACTAATAAGATTTTTCTAGGTGTATGCGTCGAGGACAAATGAAGCTCAACTTAATTTTTTTAGTGGAATCATATATGTTCCATTAGACTACTTGATTCGGGTCGTTATTCTCTTCATAAAAATACTAAAGCATTTATTGCGAAAAATCATTTGTTTAGAAGATACTTGAATTTTTGTATCTTTTAGTGACCATTCAAATTTCATTCGAGATATTTTTTAATATCATCGACAGTTTCGAAGATATTTGACTGGATCGATTGAAATGGGTCACCATGTGGATTGAGCATCTGCAATAAAATTGTATTGTATACATACATTGATTGATTTTTGCGAAATGCGTTATTCACGCATGAAATTTTAAGCGGAGACTTATTTTTACATATTAATATCGTTATCGCTGTATGATTGAAGCAAACAATATTTTGCTGAATTCGGTTAAAGCCTTTATTTCACTAATTGTATTTTCGTTTATGTTAGAAAGACAAAGAAAACAAACTAATATTGAAAGTACTTTTTTTACTTGAATCGTTATATATTATATTTTTCTTGTATTACATTCATAATTAACTGTTTGATTTAATATTTAATACTGAATTGACGATGTTTACGACGATTCCCAGCTTCATTCATGAATTTTTCAAAACATTGTTTTTAAGATACTTCTGATATATACTTCTCATATATATACTGAGTTAAAAAAATGGCAAGAACTCAAAGTTAATCCAACAGTAACCTATGCGACATGCTATATAAGAATTACTGCGGATTTTTATGCAATATAAATAATTTCTACACTAATTGA